GGCACACAGCACTTCTGTAGTCAGGTGTTTTCTGTCTAGGCTTTGGGTCATGGTTTTCAGATGGCTATGCCTTTTAAAAGCCCAGTCTGTCTCAAAGTTGGTCCTCTGCCTTTGCTACTTGAGAAGTGCTGAGTGTCCTTTAACTGCTTTCTGAACTCTTTGTCATAGATGACCAAGTTAGCGTATGCTTGTTCAGCACTAGTCCACACTGATAGTTGTTTATCTGTTTTTAGGAAATGAAAAATAGCTCATTAGTAAAATGAAGAAATTAAATTTTGAAGGGGGCTCTAGACGGAATAACTACTTTTTTCCCCCTGCATACTGAGTGTGTACCTCTGACATGGTGAACAGACCCAGACTCTTTCTTTTTCAGGCTGTCAGCGCTCCATAGGCTTGTCCAATGGAAAAGCCAAGGTGTGCAGCTACAGTGGATGGTATTACTGCAGCACCTGCCATGTGGATGACAGCTTCCTCATCCCTGCACGGCTGGTTCATAACTGGGACACTTCCAAGTACAAGGTAATTTCCCTGCAGGTTGGCTTGCTGGCAAGTGAACAGAATTGCTCTTTAGACAGAAACATAGACATTGCAACATTGAAGAGTAAAGGCACTGTCTGCTAATACTGTCATCTCAGTTTTTCCTGCTAGAATGAGCCACGCTTTCTCTACAAGGCAGATGTTTTCATCACAGAGTCTTTAGCTTGGCCTAAGGTGTTCCGCCACAGGAGCAACCATGCTCTTTTTTCTTTGGAGGCATCTATTCCATCACCAACCTCTTCTTTAGCAGTAATCTTAGCAGTTATTGGGCCCTTGAAGAGTACCTGTTCCTTGAGCACTAGAGACTATGGATGGGTACTGCTTGGTGATGAATGCTAAAACTGGAAATGCCCACAGGAAACTGACATACCCAGAAGTGGAGTTTGCAGTGCCCAGTACGTCCTGGTCTCTTGGCACAGACATCCTGAGGACACTAGAAGGATTTTGTTATAGCTCTTGCTTGGACCAGACAGTTGAAAGGAACAATTGTTTACTTGCCACAGAAGCAGCTTTTCTAAAAGTTCAATAATCTACTCCTTGCTGTTGTCTTGGTGGCTGGTTGCTAGATAGGGGCAGCGATGCCATGCCTCAAAGCTTTATGCCAGCAAACAGAGGCAGTGTTGTTTTGTGGTCTCTGGAAGTGTGTGCTAAAACAGTAACATAGTCATAAGGAATCCAGACCATGCTAGAGCTTCAGACCTAGCAACCACTGTTAGGAGAGGCAGTTTGATGTTTTGTGTCTGCAAATATTATTATTATGGGCTATTTGAAAAGGAAAAAATAACCAGTAAATGCCCCATTAGAGGAAAAGCAGCTCTGTCTTGAGGAAAATTTTCAGATGAGGATATTATTAAAAGGTATCCAGAGCCCTGCCATCAAGAAAATTATACGCTTGCACTATGAATGTAAGATTTTTCAACACTGCAAAGCTCCTACATGTGGAGATGACCTCCCAACCCCCCTTTCCTAGGAGCTAGGAGTAAATATTTAAGAGTTCTTCCTGTGGATACTTTTGCCAAGGAATAAAGTTGCTAGCCCGTGGTAGTGTAGGTAATCCTGATGTGGGGCAAGTGACTGGTGGGGCAAATACCTCATAGAAAGCTGTATATAGTATATAGCACATTTGATGGTCAGAACTGAAGTAGGTTCAAGTCATCAAAACTTCTGTGTTTCACCTAGTATGAAATGCACCTCTGAGTCCACCAAATGGAAGGGAAGTGAAAGAAGGGTTCAAAACCCTGCACCTCCAGCTTTTCCCTCACTCTGCAGGGTTTTCTGGGCTCTGTCCCATCTATCTCTGGCAAAGCAAGAAACAATAGATATGCTAGGACGTGAGCTTTTATGATGACACGGTGTTATTAGAAATGTTTCCCTTTTATGTTTCTTGGTCTTCTAGACATCTGAGTAGCATCTGTAAAGTGTTGAATCAAGTATGTTTTGCAAAGGGAGAGAGTTTTGACTGCTTTTGGCAACGTAGGTCAAGAAAAAAAAAGAAGCTCTAGAAATCTGTAGAATTATGTCTTCCCACATCCAGGATCTTGAAAGCCAGCAGTGCACTTCACACCTGAAAGTACATGGGTAGGAAAAGAAAAATTCCACTGACAGCAGTAGAAGTTCTTTGAAAGGACTTGGCAGTTAGGCATGTTTCTTCTGTCATAACCAAAGCAGCAGTTTAGTTTCCAGGTTAACTTTTTTTTTTCCTGTCTCCCTGCTGGTTTTATGTATGTGTTTATCCCATTTGTGTGAAGGGAAAAGAGGCAATCTTGTGAACATTCTTTCTTCCTTTCACTTAGACCAACTGTTTTCCCCACTTGCACACAAAATCCACTAAATATTGCAGTTTGTTTCAGGTGGCTTCCAGCCTGTGCAAAATGCCAAACACAGCAGGAAATGAACTCTCTGTGCCAGGAGGCTTCAAGGGAGGCTGACTTCTGGTAAATTGAATTCTGAACTGTAAGCTTGCAGCCTTTAGAAAAGAAAGGTTTGGAAGTATTAGCATCTATCCTTGTATGACATTTAAACCTTCCATCTTCTCACTCCTTTTGGCGTATTTAATAAGGTTGTCTGATCTGCCCAGTGAAGCTGGGAGTGTACCTGTGTTCATACGTGTACTAGAATATTGGCTGGTAGCAAGCTGAATTATTATGATTTCCTGACCATTTCCATTATAAGACTGCATTTCAGCTTCTTGTGACTTTGCTATGGCTGGCAAGGTGAGTTTGTAGAATCATAGACTCATAGAATGGTTTGAGTTGGAAGGGACCTTAAAGATCTTCTAGTTCCAAGCCCCCTGCCATGAGCAGAGCCACCTCCTGCTAGAGGAGGTTGCTCAAAGTCCCATCCAACCTGGCCTTGAACACTTCCCAGGATGGACATCCACAACTTCCCTGGGCAACCTGTTCCAGTGTCTCACTATTCCCACAGTGAATAATTTCTTCCTAATGTCTAATCTAAGTCTACGCTTGTCCTGGTTTAAGCCAGGATTAAGCCAATTTTCCTTTTACTGATTTTTTTTTTTCTCCAGCAAGCTTTCTTTTTACTAGTCACAGTATGTTCTAACTAAGTAGTTTAGTTTTCAATCCAGCAAAGTCTCTCTCTTCTCTCTCCTTCCCTACCTGAGTGGGAGGGGAAGGGGATCGAGAGCATTGTTGAACCCGAGTCAAATGGTGACAGCGCTCTTCCAGTTTAAAGCTATTACCCCTTGTCCTGTTGCTACGTGCCACTGTAAAAAGCCCCTCCCCAGTTTTCTTGTAGGTCCCCTTCAGGTACTGGAAGGTTGCTATAAGGTCCTCCTGGAGCCTTTTCTTCTCCAGACTGAACAACTCCAACTTTCTCAGCCTGTCTTTGTAGGAGAGGTGCTCCAACCCTCTGATCATCTTAATGGCTCGTCTCTGGACTTGCTAAAAATAAAACAACATTTAATGTTTTAAATTCCTGTGTCAGGCATGCAGAGTAAACTGATGCCTGCCTGTCAGCCAATGATGCTGGGCAGAGCTACTTTTCCTGCAAGTAACACTCCACAGGTATTGGCAAGGAGAGAGAAAGGTTTGCTTTGCTCCTCTCTCCTCACAGACTGCATTCAGACCATGCAGCACCAGAGCTGCATGGTAATAGTTGGTCATCATGGTGCACATGTATTGCAGAGTCACTCAGGTGACCTCAATTCTGGCATTTTTTTTGCTTCTGTGCTGTTACTGTTGCTGTTGTAGGAAAGTTGCCCCATACAGGGCACAAATATGCACAGATGTGGGTGTAGTACTTAGTGATCATCCTCTGG